TCTGTTGCAGATGGAGACTTTTCTCTTCAGGCAAGCTTTTCCTTCGTGATCGGCTATCCAAGAGGGGTTTTAAATTGAGTGTTATGCCTTGTTGCTTTGAATCTGTCATTGGTGTTGATTTTGCTTACCATTTTAAGTGTAGCATTTGTTCCATTCTTTTTTTTAAAAATATTTGTATACATACTGTTTCAAGCTTTTAAATATTCTGTTTTACTGATGTAAGCTTCCTTGGGTTTTTTTAAAGGAGAAAGACAGAAGGAACAGACTTGGGTCTCCAACTAATATCATGTATTACTGATCTGGTCTGCAGTTGGGTTATGGGTTATAGCAGTGGGAATTCAGCCTTATCCCCAAAAGGCCTCCATCCACCCAATTTATAAAAAGGCAGTGGATCCCTGTACCACTCTTTCTCCAACTACAGGCTTGGCAAGTGGCATAAGCTGGAAGGAGGACATGAAACCGCTGCTGAGGGCTAGCATGAAGGGTTTTAATTTCTTTTTATGTTTTGAAAGGCTAATTAAGAAATTAACAGGGGAGAAGGAGCTGTGTTGCTTTGCTCTACAGATATGCAGCTTATAACCCTTGAAATATTGCCAGATTGCAGCTGTCAAGGCAGTATAATCAACAGAAACAGATCTGCTTTCCAAAAGCATCTGGAGTATCACAAGCTGACCATCTTTGATTTACTCAGCAGCTCCTTCAAGGGTTTCACAGATATCAGCAGAAAGTAAAACCAACATTTTTACAAGACCTACTCTAAAAAAAAAATCCTAAATTAACTTAAGGATCACATATTATAAGAAAAGACAGAATTTAAGACATCCACTCATGAATCTTACACAAACCTGCTCCTTCGTTGCAATAAAAGTGAGTAGATTTTTAGAAGGTGCAACCGGTTCTGGCTTTCAGAAATCAAACTTCATAAAAACTGGTGCGGCCTGGGCAGCAGTAGCAGAAAGGGAGCTATACTGTATCAGTGAAACCCTTCCAGAAACAGAAATGGACATCACACATAAAGGGAGGAATAATGCCGGTGCTTAGCAATAACAATGGAGAAATGGAAATATTCAGTTTCCAGAAGAAGATCCTTGCTATTCAAGGTTACAATTAGGACTAAAATAGAAGCAGCAGAGCACATGTGGCACCATGGAGTCTGATTCATTGAGACCTCAATGTTTAAGGGCAACAGACAAAGAAGCAGGGCAGTTGTTTTTCTTTGCTGTGACTGCGTACAACAGTGAGTTGGGTGTAAAGAATGCAACCATGTGAGCTGGTTTTCACTGTGCAGACAGCACAACACTGAGAGAGAACAATGCCACAGATGGAACACAGCCAGAACACTGGCTGTTCTGGCTGGCACATTCTAGGAACTGGAGTCCAAAAACATCACTTTAATGACCTCTGAACTTTGGACGTTCAAACCACACATGCAACTGGCTCTACTCACTTTGTTGCAACAATCACACTGAGACTGATCACCGGTGAGGAGGCAGTGTGGAAAGCTGTTCCTATGTTAGTAGAGTTATAGTTACAAGTGCAGAGGCACTGAAAGGATCCTCAAAAACAGACATCAGCGAGTTGTGTCCTGTGTGTGTATTAGGTGCTGCCAAGTTGAAACTGACTTACAGCAAAGCGGCTTTTCAGGGTAAGTGACATATTTAAGGAGTGGCTTTACTAGTGCCATCTCACACCCAACTCCATGAGTCTCCATGGTTGAACATGGATTCAAACCTAGATCTCCTGAGTCCTAGTCCATCACACAATCCACTACACCACACTGGGTATCTAGGTGTCACAGCTATGATGAAACACTACAGTTGCTCTTTTGAAATGAGGGCAAGTGTTTTAAGAACCTGAATTGTTTTCAGAAATGGTCTGAGAAAAGTCTAAATCCACAGATCCAACAGAAAGCTCAGCACATACCAAACCATTTCCTTGCAAATCACTCTGCAGTAAATTGTTTCTTGCACAAACTTAAGGATCTCAAGAGGCTGAAAAGGGACAGTAATAAACAGGAAAGACAGCACGTTGAAAACTTTTGGCTAATGGCAGGGCTGTTCATGATCTACGTTGAACATATACAACACATACTATCCAAGTGTATGCCAAAATCTAACAGATTTGGTAATAACTCAAAAAGAAATGAGAAGAAAAAGAACTACCAAAACCCCCTAAATTTTGCTACCTGAACACAATATGCAAATTAAGCTAACTTGCATACTATTGCTAGGCCTGCATACTATTTATTCTGTTCCAGTCATTACTGGGAAGAGCAAATAATCCGTGAGGGCACTAAAGCTGCATCCAATAACCACTGATGTCCTTGTGTACCCTGACTGATGGCTTTTAAGATTTCATCAGGCAGTGCCTAAAGTCAAGATTTTTTTTGGTCATAAATGCTCAAAACTTGCTTTTCTGAAAGAAGACAAGAAAGCTGAGATCCCCAAGATGCTGAAATTGACACTCAAGGTCAATTCCACACTGAGAAATGTCCACTGCTCTTGGCAGACAAACAGTAACCTCACTCCCAGCTTTCACAGAGAGATAACAATAGTGGGGAGTTGAGACTTTGTTCCCTGACAGGGTGTGATTCTTCTCCAGGGAAAGACAAGTGTTTAGACACTCGAAGTCACGGTGAAAGATAGGCTTGTTCAAGCCTATCTGCAGGGAAACATGAACCACATGTACTCTCTCCACTAATTGTCACAGACCTAAAGCAAGTCTGCTTCCTTTTATATGGCAACCTCTTCATTCAAGCTATCTCCCAGCCCCTGGTGGTTCAGGACACTGAGCAGGCGAAGTGGTTCCTCCTGGGCCCATGACTCCCACTCCTCACTCTCATCTGTGTTGGACTCGTACTCAGAGGCAATCCCCGATTCACGGAACCGAATGAGCTCCAAGCTCCCCAAAGGAGGCTCCGTGCTGGGGAGAAAGTGGAAGCATTCCAGCTTTGCCAAGCAGTCACTCCTACCTAAGGGGCTGCCCAAAGAGCTGGCAATGTTGGAGAAGCTGTGGTCTGGCTGGAGCAGGCGGCTCTCCTCAGGTGCAGGGGTGGTGGGGTCACACAGAACAGGCAGGGCCCCTGATCGGTAGGTGATCTCCAGCAAACTGTCTTGAGAGCCCACTGAAAGACAAGGAGAGAAGAAAGAGCATCTAGTCAGTCATGTTTAAAGTTTCTTATGAGACAGAGGACAGCCTATCCGCCACCTAAAATTAGAGGCCTGATATGTTAGCTGTACGTTAGCCTAGGTTTTCCCCATTTATGTTGCTCCCATCTTTAGCCTCATTACCACCTAAAATTAGAGGCCTGATATCTTCTGGGTCAACAGAAAGCCACTGTATGTTAGCGTAGGCATTCCCCTATTTATGTTGCTCCCATCTTTAGCCTCATTCTCACCATAATGTTCTACCTCATAGTATCATTGTGAGGGGAAATGCAAAGCCTGAAGATCACCTGGCACTGCCAAATGAAATCTATGCTATCAGTGAGAAACAGAATTGAGAGATGAAAGGGAAGCCCTTACTGGCATTGGATCCCAACAGCTTTGCCTCCAGTTCTTGCACCTGCTTCACAAGAAGTGAGATATGCTGAAGGAGGTCCTTATTCTGCAGCAAGAGCTGGTGTACTCGGGCCTGGGCCTCCAGGCGAGCGGCTGTCTCTGATGCCAGCTGGTCCTTCAGCAAATGTACCTGCAGGAGAGTGACAACATCCACCATAGCTAAATATTGCACTTTCGTGTGCCTGAGGAAGAATAACTATAATCCAAAAATCCAACAGCATTCATAATTAAGGAAGCAAGCTACAAGAAAAAAGAGAAATAAAAACATATTTAAAGACTGGTTGAGGAGCAGAATCTAATGATTAAATAGTAGCAGAATTTCAAAAGTGTAATGACTGAATATAAACTTAATATGTCACTGAAAAGACAGTGAGCACAAGATATGTTCTGGTGTTCATAATTTACAGCAAAGGAGGGAGCTTCCCATCTAGAGGCCTAACCTAGCCCATAAAGGAGAAAGGAGAGAAATTATTTTCCTCTCCTGAGGCCCCAGCCTTTGTTCAAGAGACCCCCACCTCATCCTGCTCTAAAGTTCTCAGTGGAGAACTCAAGCAGGGTAAGAGGAAACCAATGTACTATCTTGGCTCCAATTCTGAAAATATAACAGGACTCTCCTTCTGCCCCATTTGGTTCCTCAATGGGGAATGAAAGCGAGGTGGGATGAACCCTTCTGTTATTTCTGATCTCAGATTGGAGACAGCAGTAGGAATTCCACTCCCTCTTGCCTTGCTCATGCTCACTGGGGCAATGTCCGTGCAGGCAGCTCTTCTGCTATTTCCAGTCTGAGAGTCAAAATGCCAATATGATTTCTCCTCCTGCCTCCACTGAGAAAAGAAGTAGGGTGGGGTGGTGGTGGAACGGGACGGGAAAAGAGATGCTCGTTTTCTTCAGTCTCTAATGGGGAGTATCAAGGGAGAACTTTGTCAGGAAGCCATTTTCAACAGGGACCATATGGCCCCTTAGGAGGCCCCTGGCACATCTGACGGGCAGCCACAGACTGGAAACAATTCTTCCCACCCCACCTTATAAGGTTTTCCATGCAACATAGACAGTCCTGATCCAGCCTATATTTATTTCATAGTGTGTTTATGGTTGTGGCCAAAAAAGATTTAGAATGGCTGGCTGAGAATCCACAGAAATCCATGTCTCTCTCTGATAGGTAAGGGGAATCATGTCTTTAGAATGGTTGGCTGAGAATCCACAGAAATCCATGTGTCTCTCTGATAGGTAAGGGGAATCATGTCAGAGAAGGAGCAGGGCTAAGTAACACCAAACCGTGGCAAGATCCTGTGTGTTAAGTCACCTGTGGCCTCCAAATGTTTTCCACTACAACTTCCATCATTCCTACCCATATGAGTTAGGAGACAGAAGTCCAAAACATGAAGGACATCAGGATGAAGGAGACTGGAGAAGTCAATGTTAAAACTAAGGTTTGCAAGTAGAGGGTGACATTCTTAACTGGATGCACAGAATAACTGAGGAGAAATTGGGTTAGGAGAGTCACTTCAACTTCGACATTGCAAGTTTGAAATTAAAACAAGACTTCAAGGTAGATCAGACAAGCAGTTAAAGATGCCAGACTGAGGGGGCAGCTACATTACAACTTATTTTGCATTTTGTTCCTGTAGGTACCAGATGATGTGCGGGGTAATCACAAACCAGCTTTGCCCTTTTCCATGGCTATCTACACCTTTCTGGATCACTAGGGTAATCACAGACCAGCTTTGCCCTTTTCCATAGCTATCTACATCTTTCCGGATCACTGGCAAGGGTCAGGTTTATTTTTAGTGTGGGAAGAACTGCTCTGTTTTAGTTTAGTTTCTGGCATATTTGAGCAGGGGTCAGGTTTATTTTTAGAGTGGGAAGAACTACCCTGTTTTAGTTTAGTTTCTGGCATATTTGATCACTATTACAGAACCAATTTGGCAGAACTGTTTTTTTCCTACAAAACTTCAGCAGTATGCCACTTACTAATAAATTAAAGAAAAAAAATCCAACTTCTTCTCACTCCCCAACGGAGGGGGAAGACAGGAGAGGACATGGAGGGGAATCTCCCCCCCCCCTTTTCTGTAGAATCCAGTTGTGTGTCACCTGGATGGCAAGCCACTTCAACAGTGTACCACTTACCAATATATTAAATCTAGCTTTACCCTCCTCCCCACAGAGAGGAAGACAGAATAGGATGTGGGAGCATGGAGGCAGAAATGGAGGAACAGGCTAAAAAGGGTCACTTTAACATGAGGTGTGTTTTCTTTTCTCCAAAACACCTGGTGCTTGAGTGTGAGTGAATGCAAGGATCACTCTAAATGGCATACTGCAGGAATGGAAGGGAAATGATCTGGGGCAAGGAAAGAAAGTCAGATGACATAAGTATGTTGCTAACTGAACAACAGAAAGCAGGAAGCTCAAAGCTGAAAGTAGAAAGAAGTAAGTAGGAGTCAAAAACAAAGTGCTCAAAATTCTCAGAAAACAAACTGAGAAGATAGTCATGGAGATTTAGCATGCTCTGTCATGACACCCACTACAGAAATCTGAAGTCTCCTTCATTTTCTGTACTCTTGGAAATGACCCAGTGAAGTCAGAACACAAAGCTCTGCCCCTTTAAACTGTTGCTGGTTCTCAATCACACACCAGGGACTGAGCACTCAGCAGGTTTCCTTGTGAATGAGGTGCTGAACAGAGCTCAGGCTTTGACTTTGGCATGTCATGAAGTTGATGATCAATATGATCAATACTACGATTTCTCTGTATTGTTTCCTCCTATCATCGTCCGGAACAGATAGTAACCTGGGCTACAGCAACTTGAGTCTGCTGCTGCTGTTGCTGCAAGAGCTGCTGGAGGAACTGCATTTGGTGGTGAGCAGAAAGAGGAGCCTCTGGCTCAGGCAACTGGGCAGAAGAAGGCAGTAGCATCTTGGGCGAAGCTGTTAGGATGTTCTCATTATGAAGCAAGCCCTGAAAAATACAAAAAGATTGCAGAATCAAAACATCTATCCTCATCTTCCAGTACAGTGGCGCCTCGCTTAGCGATGTTAATCCGTGCAGAAAAATTGCTGCTAAGCGATAACATCGCTAAGCGAAAAAAAACAGCCCATAGAAACGCATTAAAACGTGATTGTGTTTCTATAGGCTAAAAACTCACATTTAAGCGAAGATCCTCCATAACGCCGCCATTTTCAGTGCCTCTAAAGAGAGGTATCCGTGCCTGAAAATAGCGGGTGGCCATTTTGTTTATCTGTCAGCCATTTTGAAACCGCCGATCAGCTGGCTGAAAATGGGGGTTTTGTGATGATCGCTTCCCTGCGATCATTGCAAAGTGAATTTCCCCCATAGGGACCATCGCAAAGCGATCGCTTTTGCGATGGCAAAAAGTCCATTGCAAAGCGATTTCGTCGCTATACGGAGCGATCGCTATGCGAGGCACCACTGTATGTCTATTTACTTCATCCCAGTCCTGCCCCTCACACCCTTGAAGTAAACAGTCAACACAGTATCTGCCACGGCCAGGCTGGAATATGGGTAACTCCCTATGGATGGAGTGAAGCTGGCAGGTGGGTCACCCAGAAAAAGCACATATGATTTAATGTGCTTCACTCTCTGGCATCCAGGAGGCACTGCCCCCCAACCAAAGAAAATGATGCTTCTCCTCCACCCAATACTCACTGAAGGAGCTATAAACAGGAAGCATATACCTTGGGGAGACGCCCCAAAGAAACCTGCACATCATACAAGAAAAAGAGACCCTATGGATTCCTAAGGACAATCCTTTGATCCCACCCAAGGTCAGATGGCTAAAATCAGCCTAAGGCTGCCTATTCTCTGTTGCACCTGGGGAACACCTGCCTTCTCCTCTGCTTGTCCCATCAAAAATGGAGTAGCTTCAGCCATTGACAGTGCAGAAGAGAACAGCATTGAGCACAGTCTGATCTTGCTTTGCCTAGTTAGAGCAAGAAGGTCCTTTGGATGGTGGCTTTTCAACTGAACAAAAGACCCACTGACAGTAACGCCTCTAACCCAACTACCTGGGGATCAGGCCAGGAAAAGGAAGAAGACCTTCAGCTTGAGTAATATGAAGGGGCTGGGCCTCCTCTCAGTCACCAAGGCTCAATGGAAAAGCATTCTCTCATCTAACTTTGGGGTTGGCCCATACTACCATTGGGCAGAGTGAGGTGGCCTCCGGAATAAAGAGATGCTAGCAGGAGGGCAGATGACGGATGGCAGAGTTGTGTCTGCCATATACTGTAGTCTGCCCACCACCATTTGACTTCGTTTGCTGCCCTCCTGTGTGATGGAGGACTCTTGTCACATTGCAAGCACTAAGTCAGTCCGGACAGGCTCTGTATACAGAATAGGGGCAAGAAGGCGATGCCTTCACAGCTGTTGGCAACAAAATATTTCAAATCACCACGCAGAACACAGGTAGTTTGCTGCTAGAGTAGGAGAATTTCAATATGCATCATAATTACATTCCTTTGGAGAAAATGCATAGTTTTTCTTTCTTTGTTATGACAGAACCACTAGTCATGCTCAAGGGAAGAGAAAAAATTACTCCGCTCCTAGTCAGATCGACTGGGGAACCAACATGCTTTTGTCTTCCTGAAGCTTGTGTGGGACGGTATTCTTCAAGCACATCCCTTAGCGCTGTTTGTGTAGTATATGGGTGTGGTAGACCTGAGTACTCCTGCTCTTTTCCAAACTCCTAATTCTGTGAACTCCTCATCCTACCCTAGACTTACAGATCTTTGTCCCCAGAGGGTATGGACAAGGAAGTATCTACCTTGCTGCAAAGCAGGCCAGGGGACTCTCTACCAACAGCGTCAAGGTCTGTCACCCCTCTGTTGAACTCCAAATGATCACTTCTTGGTAGCCCAACATCTACTGCATCAATGTCCGTCTCTTCAGCAGTATGAGCGGGCTCAGCTTCAGGCAGACTACAAGCTGCAAGAAATCAAGAGCTATCATCAGTGGGAAAAAATGTATCAGCCATCAAGGCAGCCCCTCACAGCTCTCCCTGGGAGGCAAGCTCTATACCTATGTACAAGATTTCTGATCAACAAGAAACACTTCGCAGAAAATAGCAGCAAGTCTATGGGCTGCTTTTCTGAAATATTCTCAGGGCTTAGAGGACAACATTGACAGGGAAGCAACTTCTGCAATATGTTTTAAATTCCAGTCAGAGGGCTGAGACCTCTTTTTTTCGGGGCTGGACACATACAAAGTCTTAGGAGAAATAGCCCATTAAGAGGCAGCAGAAGCTATCTCTTCCCCTCTCTGCTTGTGCCTATACCTGCTGTTGCCAAGCCCTCACTGTCCTTCTCACTCTGGCTGTCCTCTTGGCCATCAGCATTTTGGTGAGTGTGCTGCAGACTCAGCTTGTGGCAAACTTCAAATGCTTGGCCCACTGTTCGGACAATGCGCATAGCTTGGCTCTGGAGGAAGAGGAAAAAAAGGTGAGAAAGGTAGGGTGAGAAAGGCAGAAGGATGTTCTGAAGACAGAATAGTTCTCTCTCTCTCCCTCCTCAGCAAGAAGATTTGGTCCTAGAGGAGGGGGTCCTTTTCCACAACAGATGTCCCCACATCACTCAAAGGAAGAAAAGACATTCCCCATAATCTGTTCATAATCATCATATAAGCAGGCATCGAGTCCCCATTGGACAGGGCTTGTCAACAGGAGCCTTGTGGCACAATGGTTAAACTGCTACTGTATACTGCAGCCAAAACTCTGCTGATGACCCGGTTCAATCCCAAGTAGCTGGCTCAAGCTTCACTCAGCCTTCCATCCTTCTGAGGTTGGTAAACTGATACTCAGCTTGCTGGGGGGCAATGTGGAGCCTGCACAATTAAATTTTAAAGTGCCCAGAGAGTGCTTTAAGCACTATGGGGAGGTATATAAGCAGCACACGTGGTAAGCTTAGGAACACCATAGGATACCTTTGAGGGGCATAGTCAACCCTCTGTGAAGACATCCAAGTCTACAAGCTTGTACACTCAGCCATGTCTGCTTGCAACTTACCTTTTTCTTGGATTTGAAAACATTGCAACGGAAGATGTTGCTGGAGCCATCCCTAGCAATGTAGCTGAAGATCTTCAGGTCCTGGGAATCGTGGGACACATAAAATATCCTGTAGGAACAGCGCAACTATATGTGTATGTATATGTGCAGACACCTTATAGAAAATAAGCTACCTTGCTATTATGTCAGAGGAAAGCCAGGCAAATCTAGCTGGGACATTCCTATTTTTAGAATTTTTCTTGGGGTTGGCCTCTGCAAGTGGGTTATTAGGAGACAGTGAAAACCAACAGGCCCCATTGGAATGAGGATACTATGAGAGTGGAAGGTAATGTTTCAGCTCTAAAGGAATGTTTAGTTTACATTATGCATTTTCACCTCAATAAAAACCCCACATCACGCCCCAGTTGTGAACCAGTACAGATCTATCCAAGTTGTACTCCTCTTCCCAGCTTCTCAGTAATGAGAATTTCTCCCTAGAAATCCACCAATTAGTGTCAGCATGCACTGCAATTAACATGGGGCATCAATTGGCTTTCATGAATTATGACAAGTAAGACTACTCCTTCCTCATGCTCATGCCAGTTTGCAGGATTATTTTGTTTGTTTATTATTATTAAAGGCCAAGTCTCCTGCCCTTTTGCCTCTTGTGCACTGTTGCAAGAGGCAGGCAACACCAGCTGGGCTGAATTCTTCCTCGCCAACAAGATTCTGCTCACTGTTTCTAATCCTGTTCACTTTCAAAACTAGTGAGGTATTTCAAAGGTTATATACTTTCCCTTCTCCAGCACCAGAGCTCACCTCTACCCTGAAGTTTTGGAAGATCATAAGGAAATACAGCTCTTTGCCCCCAATCTGTTATGCATAGAGCATTATGTTCTTGTAGCAAAACTCAGGTGATACAACCAAATTCAGATTTATGCTGGTTTTGTTGTTCTTGTCTCCAATTCTAGTTCTGTTTAAATTAAGTAATATTTTCTGTTCATCATAGTTTTTTAAAAAACTGAATGTTTTCCCCCTTAAATAGGTATAACCTAAATTCTAAGACTACATCTCACAAAATTCCAGGTTTTTCTGCTTTTGTGCAAGACTGCTCAAGGGTCTGAGGACTGCCTCCAGCCATCACATTGCAAATGCAGCCTAGTAGTGGAAAGCATCCTGAAGAAAGGTTGATGGGAAAGTTGTGAGTATGCAGGCCATGTGACACACAGCAATGATGGCACTGCTAAAGTCAGGATGGGTATCATGCAGCCTCCAGGCTGCTTCCCAAGGCAGTTTTGTAGCCTCCCAAGACTCCATAAATGATACTTTATTTTTAAAAGCAGCAAAGAACAAACAAACAAACAGAAAACAAAACCCCTCTGATCTACAGAGCAGCTCTCCATCACTTTTTCCACTTTATCTATCGGCACGCAACTATTTTATGTGTAACCCACCCTTTTTACATGCATATAATACTTATTATTTTCAGTGTTAATGTTTCTAAAAACCTGAGTTTAATTGAGGAAGACTTTAATCAGAAAGAGCACCTCTTGCTTTCCAAATCTGAATTAGGCTGGAATGACTAAATATGACTGAAGATTTTCTGAACCAATGAGGAGAATTATGATGAAAAACTTCAATTTTACATATAAGTGACTGCTGAAAACAAAATTAAACTACTAAATAATTATAAACTATGTGGATTAAGCATGCAAATTGATTTTTGGAAGGGTTGGGATGCAACCCTTGGACTGCCAGACAAGTTGCTAGACAGCCTAGCAAAGATTACCAACCTCTAGTTTACACATGCTGCTAAGAAATCCCAGTGTAGTGGCCTGTGCTATGGTTTGTATAAAAGACTGAATAACACTAGAAAATCAAAGACTTCTGAAATTGGAAGGTCATGATCTAAAAATGGGTTGGCATGCATATGTATAGTATGGGAAAGTTAAAAAACAGACACATTTCTCAGAACATAGTGTGAGAAAAACTTTATATTTAATATGGCAAAAATTTCAAGTGCACACCTACAAGAAAATTCCAATATGTGTAGCTCCAAAAGAGACCTTTACAGCCAAAGTGCTAAGCCAGGAAGGAGCTTTACTCATGTATAAAGACTTACTAATTAAGATCAAACTCTGAAAAAGAAACAAGATTTAGAGGGATTGGGTCTATCAACAGATTATGTTGAAATTAAAATCAAGATATAAAAAGGATAAAAATACGGGGTTTTTTGAGGGGAAGGTTCAGGTGGATGAACTATGGATCTACACAAAAGAGAAAATAATAAAAAAGTATACATATCTATTAGAGTATGACCTGGAAGATGAGAGGGTGAAGGAGGTCATAGTCAAATGGGTACAAAATTTTGGTTATAACATTGGTATAGATGACTGGACGAGAATGTGGAAAGATAATTGTAAGTTGATTAAACCAGTTAATCTTAGAGAAAATATCCTTAAAATGTGTTACAGATGGCATCTCACTCTGGTAAGATAGGCAAATATGTCAGAAGGGACCAGTAATACTTGTTGGAAATGTATAAAATAGCTACAGGTTTGGAAAATGTCACAAGAAATTGTTCAGCAAAAACTAAACTCTAAACCGGAAATGTTTTTATTGAATATAATGCCAGATTTCTCTGATTACAAAATAAAATATAATCTATTGTATATCTACAGCAGCTAGGTTGCTCTGGGCCTGAAAATGGAATAATGGAGAAATACCAATGATGGAGGAGCTACTAAAGAAACTATTGGACATTGCACAACTAGACATGCTTTCAGAGGCATTATGGGACCAACAGAGACATTTTGTAAATGAAAGCTGGAAGCTGATGGATAATTGGGCCCAGAAAGAGACAGGAAATTAGAGGAAGAAAAGATTGTGGTGAACCAGTACTTACAAGAACCCGTTGATGATATTACATGACGGCGAAATCTTAGATCTATATATATATAGTATGGATGTTTTGTTTTTGTTGTTTTTGTTTTGTTTTACTTTGCTGTTTTGTTTGTATGTATGTATGTATGTATGTATGTATGTATGTATGTATGTATGTATGTATGTATGTATAATA